AACCAAACAAATAAACAAACAAAAATAGGTATATTAAACAAATAAAATAAATAAATAAATATATAAATAAAAAAAAAATACATAAATAAATAAATAAATAGATAAATAAATACCGGTTAGCTTCACGAACAAAAGTATAAGCGGCGTTATTAATATCTACTTTATAAATAAACAAAAAAAAACAAACAAGTAAAATAAATAAAATAAACGAAATAAATAAAATAAATAAATAAAATAAATAAAATAAATAAAATAAAATAAAAATAAATAAATAAATACCGGGTTAGCTTCACAAACAAAAGTATAAGTGGCGTTGTTTATATCTACTTTATATAAAGGCCCAAATAGACAAACAAAATAAACAAAATAAATAAAATAAATAAAACAAAATAAACAAAATAAACAAAATAAATAAAATAAAATAAATAAAATAAATAAAATAAATATATACCGGGTTAGCTTCACAAACAAAAGTATAAGTGGCGTTGTTTATATCTACTTTATATAAAGGGCCAACAGCAGCAGCAAGCAGCATCAGTATTTTTTCTTTTTTTATTGTTTTGTATCCTCTGCTGCTGAAGTAACAAGCCCAGGTCTCCTTCTCTTCTTCTTTTTCTTTTTTTTCTTCTTTGTTTTGTTTTTGTTTTTCTTTTTGTTTTTCTTTGTTTTCTTTTTTTTCTTTTTCTGTTTCTTCTTTGTTTTCTTCTTTTTCTTTTTCTGTTTCTTCTTTGTTTTCTTCTTTTTCTTTTTCTGTTTCTTCTTTGTTTTCTTCTTTTTCTTTTTCTGTTTCTTCTTTGTTTTCTTTTTTTTCTTTTTCTGTTTCTTCTTTGTTTTCTTCTTTTTCTTTTTCTGTTTCTGTTTCTTCTTTGTTTTCTTCCTTTTGTTTTTGTTCTTTTTCTTTTTCTGTTTCTTCTTTGTTTTCTTCTCTTACTCCTTTTTCCTTTTGTTCTTTTTGTTCTTTTTCTTTTTCTTCTTTTTCTGTAGAGACAGTACCTGCTGTTGCTGCAGCTGCTGCAGCTCTGTCTGCTGCTGCTTCTGCTGCTGCTGGTGCTGCTGCTGCTGCTGCAGGATTGGCTTCGTCGGTTAGTGGGGCTGCTGCTGTGTCTGTTGCTGCTGCTGCTGTGTCTGCTGCTGCTGCAGCTGCTGCTGGTGCTGCAGTATGATCTGCACCAGCAGCTGTGTCTGCTGCAGCTTGTGTTGTCTGTTCTTCATTTGTTGCTGCTGCAGCAGCAGCAGCAGCAGCAGCAGCAGCATCCTCATCACCATCATCTGTTTGTTTTTGTGTATTTGTATTTAAATTAAATGTTTTAGTTGCTGCTGCTGATAAAGGTAAAAAAGAAGAACAAAGATTGCTGCATGCAGCAGCAAAAGCTTCCTCAGCAGGAGACACACAAACATCCACCGGCAGCAACCGAGATATGTGCCTAACAAAACACACAAATATACATATATATATATATATATATATATATATATATA